TCATGCCCTCATTGCTTTCTTCTTGTCCTTGAAGATCAACACGACCACGCTGGAAAGGGATTTGGGACACTTGCTCACACAGCTGGAGGCGCATTCCGGACCCCTCACTCCAAATGGCTCAACCATTGCCTCCATCCTCGAGGTGGCAGTTGAAGGTCCCCAGCGAGAGGAAGAATTTTTCCGGAAGCCGGAGAGCGAAGGTGCCGTGCTGACCCCAACTGACTTCGGGGTTCTTTGTGGTGAACTGTGGATTCGTCACTTTGGGCGTCGGTTCCGCATGACCTACAACAAAGAACGAAAGCAGGGGCCCAGCAAGCCACGCCAGGCACGTTCTGGAACTCTGGCTGCAATTGTCAGAGGCCGTGAAGCAGCCGCCGCCGAGGCAGCGAAGAGAGCAGAGGCAGCTGCTTCGAAAGGCAGGTCGTGGAAGCCGGCCTCTTTCGTGCCGGGCTTGAGCCTGCCTTTGCCGGCAGCGTCTGCCTCTGCCCAGAACAGCGTTGCTGGCACACGTTGGGCTTTCGCCCGCCCCACACCAGATGCCCTCAAGCATTTGGAGAATTTCCGTGCACGCACACAGCAGAAATATGACGGTGACTCAGCAGCACAACGGTTGCTTTCCGTGCTAAGTCATTTGAAGTGTCATACACATTGTCATTGTCATCCAGCCAAGGTCACCAAGAGGAAGCGCGGAGACGATCCTCTGGCAAGATTGCTTACACAACAACGGCGGCACGGCTTGGCGGTTTGCGCATGGTGCAGCACGGCCACGAGAAGGATCGGTCATCCGTCTTGCAAAGCATCCTCCGCAAACGAGCTCTGAAGCTATGTCCGGTCTATCGTCGCTACACGGACAGCAAGTCGCTGCAAGGCAACAAGCATTTCCAGATTCTTGGACCGTACGAGTATGAATCCGCCGATATCCTGGTCCTCGAACAACTGTCCGATGTGGAGACGGTCCGCAGCGACCGACTGGTCCCAAGCTTTTAATTAAAATGTTTAAAAGTCGGATGATGCCAGGCTTAGATCGTCACTGCTGGTACACGTTGACGTGTTTCATCCCAGGTTCCTGCCTTGATCATTGCGTACGGCTGTGGCAAAGTGCTTGCCTCCAGGGAGGCGATTCTGGCATACTTGGACAATCCGACAATTGATGCTGAGAAGTCGTTCTTGTCCTTCAACACAGCTGCAACTTCGAGGCTGGTCGGCCTTGAGATCGCCAAGAGCTGTCAACTGTTGCTCGGTGGCACAGACACTGAGGTTCAAGGGTTTCGGGTTGAAGGGTTTATTGTCTAGGGTTGGGTTTGGGTTCATTTAAGTTCAATCAGTCAGGACCCGTGCCATCGTCGAGGCCCTGCGATTCTGTGAGAAGTTGCCCCAGTCGAAGTGGCGTGTTGCTATCGGCACACCACTGCCCACTCAATTTGCTACCAAGAGGCGCACCACCTACAAGATCAATGGAGAGGCCGATATCTGGAATTTCCTCCGCACCGTCCGCGGGTTGTCCCAGAAGCGGACATTGTCCGGTGCTGGTGTACAGATGAGGCATTTGCCCCCCAAGAAACCCAAGAAAGTTCGTGCGTCATAGTCCTGTACTGCAGCAGTTAATGACAGTGCTCTTTGGCTCCTTGGCTCCTTGGCTCCCAGGTTCGCAGGCAGGAATTTTCCTGGGGTCGAATCATTTTAAGTCTAGTCGTTCGCACAGGAATGTACAGGGGGCCTGTGTCGCAAGGCAGGGTTAACCTTGTCTGGGGCAGCAGGTGCCTGCAACAGAGCCTGTTGCAAGCCCCTGCTCAATACACTGCAGATTGGTGCCAATCCGGGGCGTATTGGCAGGACAAAACGGCCTTGCAATTCACTTCCCCTGCAGTTGTTTAATTGCAGGACAATGGTAGGATGCAATACACCATGGATTGGTGCCAATCCCTGGTGTATTGACGTTCCATTTGTCCCTTGCAATAGCCTTCCTCTTTCATTTCAATACAGGCAGGATTCGCGCCAATCGCCGCGGCGCTACATCCAAGGGTGTTTTGGATGCATCCAAGGGTCCCGGCAGCTCTTGTTCCATGCATCCAAGGGTGTTTTGAGTGCATCCAAGGGTCACGTTAGCAGTGCCTTAATGATGAAAGAAGCACCTGTCACCCTTCAATGCACACGAATGACCCTTCAACGCACGCAAATGACCCTTCAATGCACATGTCACTTGTCACTGCATTGTCTGAGGCTGTTGTCGTCGACAAGCTGGACGTCGAGGGGCAGGCCCAAAGTCGTTTCATTTCAGTCATGGTTGGCTGTGTGGCTGAGTTGTCAGAACATGACAGTTGCATGCGACAGTGTGTTGTGTCAGTCTTGCCATGTCACTATCAGCATCTGATACGAGGCTTCTGCGGCAACAGGCTCCAAGGCTCCCTGGCTCACATAGGCTACTAGGTCCCAATGCCGCCTGCGAAAATGGCCGCAGCCGATCCTAAAGCAGCCGCCGCAGATATGGCACCCACCATCATCGCCGAGCCGGAGGAGAACCCAGTGATAGAGACTCAGTCTCAGAGATCTTGGTCGCGTCTCGGCTACTGTGCGCTGAGGGCAAGTGACTACGAGAAGAGTGTGGAGGCGGCTTCCGAGTTTGAGAAGGATTCCTATTACGAGTCACCGGAGATCGGCTTCCGTGCCTTGTTTCTGGCGACGAAACTGGACGCCATCACATGGCAGCGCAAGGAAGCCATGCGCAAGTTGGGGGCGGCCCCGTCTGCTGCAGACAAGCCTGTGAAGGCGAAGCTGCGCTCATCGCGCCGCCAGCTGACAGAAGCCATTGGGGAGACCCAGTTCGTGGTTCTCACACTGTTCACCAAGAAAAATCTGGCCGAAGCGTGCTCTGCAAGAGACATTGTGGTGGAGGATGGCGGCTACTATGTTCCGCTGTTCTCGGATCCTTGCCAGGAGCTGCCTTTCCACGACGAGGCGAACTGGAGCCTTGAATTCGAGTACATCGGACGCCAGGAAGTCTTTTCATTTATTGTTATTTAATTTTATATTAATTATAGGCTCAGGGGTTCAGAGGTTCAGGGGTTCAAGGGTTCAGGGGTTTAGGGGTTTAGGGGTCCAGGGTATTGCGTCCGATCAAGGCACGTCATGGTGCAGGCCACGACCAGCCGCGCCTGGCAGACCCTTGCACCCGGGCCCGACCTTGGCGGGGGTTTGGGCTTCATGTGCTACACGGCGGTCAAGTCGGAGGAAGGCGGCGGCGGCGGCGGCTTCGACATTAGCAAGGAGGACACATCTGCCCTCGTGAACTTCTTGGCCCGGAACCACGTGTTCGCTGCGCAGGGGGATCCGTTCCTTCCGGATCCCGGTGCATCCCTGTTCCCGGTTTCTTCGTCCACGCACGCAGCGGCCACGTTGGGTTTTTTTGCCCTCAAGCAGCTCGACATGGACATGCTCGAGTTCAGCTGCGAGGGCGTCATCAACCAGTCACCGCCGGTTCTCCATCCGATGGGGTACTTCTGGATGCTCAAGGGCAATGACCTGGCAGAGCGGATCCGCACCGGCAACTTGAAGGTACGCAGGTCCGGGATCGAGATGGTCATCGTGAGCATGAGCAACCCCAGGAAGCACTCAGACATTCTGACATTCTCCTTGAGGCTCAGCGCTCCAAGCTGGTGGAGCACAAACGGCGCTTGAAGGAACAGGTGGACGTCTCCAACAAGCAGCTCCGCCGCGACCAGGATGCCCTCGCTGCCGTTGATGCCCAGCTGAGGCGTCTCCCAGGCTCCTAGGCTCCCAGGCTCCAAGGTCCATGTGGCGCCGGCTTGGTGTCGTCATGTTTAGATGACTCATCAGCAGCATAGTAGGATTTTGATGCTTCCTTACTTTGCTGCCAACTTGATTTAAATGGACATGTAAAGCTCAAGCCGCTCGTCGACAAACTGTGGCAGGGCCCACGACTACAAAGGACCGCTGTCGACGTCAGTTTGTGTTTGTTTGCAGCATGTCCTGCACTGCAGCAGTCTTATTGCCTTGCGCTGCACCGCAAGACTCCAAACGGTTCCGTGGAAGGCTACTCGGCTCCCAGGTTCCCAGGCTTCTGTACTCGCGCTCAATGGCAAAAGTGCCGGATTTGCCCACCGACCCAACCGTTCTGAGCTCAGCATTTTCGGAGCAGTATGACGTGTGTGATGATGATGTGTGGCACGCCATGTGAAGCAGGCCAGTGCTCAAGAAGCCCTGGCAAACATCGTGCCATGGGCCCTTCGCTGAGTTCTTGATACCGTGTCCCGTCTCGCGGCTAACAGTGCTGCATGCCGTGCCTGCCCGAGGTCCGCAGCCAGCTCCCTCTGAAGTTTCCGCAGGCCAAGCAGATGTTCAAGACACCGCCGCTTGCCATCAACGCAGAAGCCAAGATGGGGGATTTGACCGGATACAAGGCGGGCGCATGTCGATCAATGTCATTTATTGTTTGACCGTTGTCGTTTGTCAGGCTGTGTGGAGCAAAGATGACTGCCAAGCGTCCCTGACATCATCTGGACTTTACGAAGCCAGTGGCCTCGCGCTGTGGCTGGCCACCGAAGCTTTTGCCAGTGCGTCTGAGGATGTGTGCTGGCAGGATCTCCAAACTTTCGAAGACGCTTTCTTCTCCAAGAAAGTTGCTTTCAGCACAGTTGTATCGCGTGAAGCTGCCAAGAAGAAACAAAAAACGTCACGAAACCGGCTGACGTGGCCTTGTGAGATGATTGTCCTCACGGAGTCAGCATCTGACGTGATTCACGAAGAGTTCAACAGCTCGTTGCATCTTGCTAGCGGCGTGTTTGTGTTGTGGGCTTGGTACTTGGCCGTCTTCAAAGCCCTAGTCTCCCAGGACAGTTGCTGCTTGTGTTCACATGACATGACATGTTATTGATTCATCTGACTGATGTGTGCTTGCACTTGGCAGGACAAAGCAGTTTTGGAGATTTTGTGGGAGTGTGGCTGCACTGTCACGATACAGGTTCGCTTGTGTTCCAGCGCAGGGGAGATTGCGAAGAGTCGCAATCTTGCTTCAGAGAAAGTCAAGGCACTCGGGCACCCTGGCCTGTCCGACACCTTTTGGACATTTGCAAAGACTGTCCAGCTGCTCAAGGTCGAAAAAGTCCAGGATGGTGAGGAACAGAACTTGAGGTACAACAACACCTTGTACAACAAGGCCTTACACCAGGCTGCCACAGCAGCTGTTGCAGTGCTGCGGGGTCCATCCGGTCCCGTGGAGAAGGCTGCCCGGAGATTGGAGCTGGAATTTGGGCGGGGCATCTTGAGCAGTCAGTACTCGAAGTTGAGCAAGCTGTTATCGCTGACCAACAAGCTCGCATCTGCTACCAGAAACGCTGTAGACCTGACGGCCTGGATGATCGACTCCTTGACGCTGGCCCTGCGCATGAACATGGTCACGCCAGCTAAATGCACCGAGAAGTTTCTGGATCGAGACCGGAAGACAGGCGATGCTGGCTTTTGGTTGTCGCGCATGCTGGTGGTGCAGGCATTGTAACTATTCTGACTAGCGTGTGTATTTTTTTTTTTTGCGGAGTGTTGCAAGTCATCGGCAGCTTGAACACTGACAGAGGTCTTCGATTATGCAGCAAAGCTGGCGAACAAGTTGCCTGAGCCGGACAAGGTTAAGCTGACAGGGATTTTGGCTGAACTCCGTTGCCCTTCCACATGTTGGGAGAAATATCTCTGCCATGCTGATGCTGATCAAGGGGCTGCTGGAGAGGACGACATGGACGGCGAGGACCCAGAGGACGTGGAGCGCCCTGTTCCGCAGTCCAAGATTGGAGCTGTTAAAGAGGGTTTCAACAAAGCCATTGGCATGCTTTTGGATTTGCTGCTGGAGCTGATGTCGGGGAAGTACTACAAGGATTGCTGCATGCTGGCTTCGAGTGAAGATGGCCTTGCAAAGGCATTGACAGCTGCACAGCTTGGAAGCTCGGATGACACGGAGCACGAGGAGCCATGTGCGCTTATCACTCAGATGAAGATCATTGTCGACAAGTTCGACAACAGCACGAAGTCCGTTGGTGCCACATCTGCGGCTCCTGCTCCGAGTTTGCTCCAAAGCCTGGCCAAGGCTTCTGAAGCTGACACACCCGAGGAATGTGTCGAGCGTGAGCGGCAGTGGAAGGCGGTGCAAACGGAACGCCGCAAGTTCGTGTCGTTCTCGGTACCGAACAAGATCTCGAAGGACTGCCTAGTCAATGCGTTCAGAGGTTGCGGCAAGGTCTTCACGCACAAGGGCACCTTAAACTCTTCGCACCGCCTGATCGTTGCCAGTGCGGATCTCTTGGCAGAGGCTGGTACCGACCCGTGGCTCAAGGGCACTCCGCCAAGCGAGGAATGGAAAGAGATCTGTGCCTTTGCCAAAGACATTTCTGGGCCCGAGGATTTCGTCGTACTCTTCGACGGCAGAATGCGGGAAATTCGCCGCGTGTCCGAGTCTTGGCGGGGTGATGTGACAAGGCTCCCAGGCTCCAAGGCTCAAAGGCTGCACCTGGTTCTATTAAGGAAGACCTCCTGCTGAACCAGCAGCACACCGAGGAGTGCACCATCGTGTACTCAGGTGGGTGCCCGCCGAGAACTGGTCGCACTCGCCGCGTTCCGCTGGCTGCAAAGAAGGTGGAGACAGGAGCGGTTAAGTTCCCGGTCGCACGCACCAAGATTCAGACGACGAAGAAAGGCTCCTTCACAGTCTGCGGCGAGGCTTCTACGTACCAAGGCACTTACTCAGGCGTGGAGTACCGTGCGGTTTCTGAAATGCCCCTCGTGTCTGCAGACACCAAGAAGAAGATCATTGCTCCGGCAACAACCGGCGACCTCCCGACACCGCCAGAGGACTGGCAGGATCGCCACGGCTCCGACGTACCCTTGTTCTGGAACGAGTCGAAGCCGATAGCATATTGGAATGCCATCATTGAGGAGTTTTGCGCGGAGGCAGTGTTTGACCTCACGGCTGGCACCGGTGCTCTGATGGAGGCTTCTTTGACTGCCGGCATCGCATACCACGGGCTTTGCAGCACCCTTACTTGTCCAGTAGATTCGTCAGATCATTGTCATTTGATTTTATTTAAATTATCCGAGGCCTCAACAAGGAGCACATGTCGTGGGTCCAGGCGGTTGCTGATCGCGCAGCTTGCGGAATGATGGCTTTGGAGGGATCCACTCTTTACTCGGACGAGAATGCCAAGGCGGTGAAGAAGCATTTCCCGCACGTTCTGGAGAGCTTGTCCAACCAAGACGACCAGGACGAGGCACCTGCTGAGCCAGATAGCCCCCGCGATCAACCGCAGTGATGATGTTTCACTTCGACCGAATCCGCCAGCTCAGGCACCAGCTCAGGCACCTAGGCTCCCAGGTTCTCAGGCTCTTGACCTTTTGCCGGGCTCAGTTTTGTCAGTAGTGTGTAGCAGTGACTACTGTCGCCTGAAAAAGCCGAAATGCTCTTATTGTGGCATGACATTGAAATAGGACTCGCCGAGGATGTTGTTGTAGTCGCCTGAATGCATTAAAGCGAGCCGTTATGGCCCCAGGTTCCCAGGCTCTGAGGTTCCCTGCTTGGGTTCGACATGGGCTGCCGATGGAGGCCTACCAGACGCCTCTGGGGCAAAACCAGTCTCAAGACGGCTTCTCGTCGGATGCCCCGGGGGTGCCAGCATGGTGGCAGCAAATCGCAGAGCTTGCGGAAGCAGGCTGTGAAAGACGGCTTGGTCCCCAAGGCTCGAAGGGCCTTCGTCATCTGGTTCCAGGAAAACTCCGAAGTCAAGAAAGGCGCTCCCAAGCACGAGTTTCTCAATGAGATGAAGCATCTTGGCGCAGTCTGGCAGGGCATGACCGACAAGCAGAAGGCACCATTCATGGCGAGGAGCAAAGATGAGTTCATGGCTCAGCGAAGTGCACTGGCCGTTCTTGGCATCAGGATGCGGGGCTCCACGACCAGTGCGGGCGGCCCCGACGAGGCGAAGGACCCCCCTGCCGCTGACGAATCTGGCGGTCGCGTTGGCCCATTTGAGCTTAATGGTGCAAGGGCTCCAATTGGAGGCGGAGCCTATGGCAGTGTCTACAGTTGCCAGCATCCGCAAAGCGGCCTTAACGTGGCGGTGAAGGTTTATCGTGGCTCCGATGGCCCCGCGGATTGCAGGCACGAAGTGGAGCAGATGAAGCTTCTAATGAAGGCCGTTCCGCAGCAGAAGATGATGTGGTTCCCGCTTCTTGTCAGCTCGGGTGTCACGGGCAGACCTTGGCCATGGATGGCTACTAGCCTATGTGGGCCCAGCCTGGCAACCGCACTTCGAAATCCTGCGGCGCATGGCAAGCCGAGGACGTGGTCTGTGGCAGCTCAGCTGAGAAGTGCACTGCAGACCTTGCATGACGCAGGCATCCTACACTTGGATGTGAAACCTGGCACTGTTCTTTGGTGCCCTTGCACAGATCAGGTGCAGGTGTGCGACTTCGGCATGAGTGAGAACATGGCACGGCTCCAGAAGGCTTCTCAGGCTCCCAGGTTCCTGCAGTATGTCACGGCTGCCTATCGACCTCCGGAGCTGTGGCCCGCTCGTGTGAATGGCGATGGAGACTGCGGTGTCAGAAAGCAGCTGCTGACTGCAGCTGTGGATATGTGGGCCTATGCTTGCGTGGTGTTTGAGGTGGAGACCGGGAGTCCCTTGTGCAAGCAGTGGCCCGAGCTGTGGAAAACACGCAGCGACTTAGCCAATTGCCCCGCTGCAAGTCACACGTGCTGCACAAAGGTGCTTCGAGCCGGTAAATGGGGGCTGTTTGTGTTGGTCGGCTGTGCTCCAGACCCCGGAAAGCGGCGGTGGCCGGAGCTCTGTCTGAATCAGAAATGACTCGACTGAGCCTCCATTTTTATTTGATGATGGCTCGTATGGTTTAACGTGTGTTTAGAGTCGGTTAAAGGGTTTCAGGGTTAGTTAGTAGGGTGTGACTTTCATAGCCTTCGTGTGTTTAGTTAGCAGCATATCCGAGCATGGGGGCAAGATTGCATGCAATGTGAGATGCAGTGAGTTTCCTCGTTGTAACCGATTCCGCACAGTGCCGTGCGTTGCATCTTGCCGAAGTGGTGAAGTGCGTCGTGACAAGCTGTTTGCAGGGCGTGTCGCGGCTACCAGGTTCCCAGGCTCCAAGGTCTGGCGCAAGACTGGCTGGGATCCCTAATTCAATTATTTTAATTCTCAGCGCGGGGGTTGTCCGAAAAAGCAGAGGCCAGTGTCGTGAGTCATGTGAACGCACCCAAATTCCACATGTAACCTGGTTCACATGTCGTTCTTTGCAGGCAGGGAGATGGGCAAGCGTGGTCCACGGCCGCAGCGCCAAGGAAGCTGTCAGGACCCGTGCTGCGTTGGACAGTCAAGTTTAATTAATTTGACAGCGGATCTTGGCTGTCGCCAGGATGATTCGATGCTGCGAGGGACCGCATCGACATCGACCCATCGTCGTCAAGGCCACAAGGTTTAGTTTCAAAGCACCCTGCCCTCATGTACGTTTGTGTTCTACTGCTTCTGGCCTTGAATCTGCCTCGCTGCAGACAGCTCGGTACGACCAGGCATGCTGAGTGAAGAACCTGACTAGAATGAGACCCTCTTTCAGCGAAAGAGAGTCAAGATGCAGGCTCCAAGGCTCCAAGGCTGTGAAATGAAAAGGGGGACCCTGCCTCTGGCTCCCGGCCAAGCCTAACTGTGGTCGAAATGTTTTTTCTTCAACGGGGGACCCTCCGTGGCCTCTGGCTCCGGGCCAAGCCTAACTGTGGTCAAAATGAAAGGGGGGCCCTCCTTGGCCTCTGGCCCCGTGCCAAGCCTAACTGTGGTCAAAATGAAAGGGGGACCCTCCTTGGCCTCTGGCTCCGGGCCAAGCCTAACTGTGGTCAAAATGAAAGGGGGACCCTCCTTGGCCTCTGGCTCCGGGCCAAGCCTAACTGTGGTCAAAATGAAGGGGGCCAAGCAAGGCTCCAAGGCTCGCAAGGCAAGGCTCCAAGCTGGCTTTGGTTCCAAGGCTCCAGAAAGTGGGACCCTGCTTGCCTTTGGCTCTAAAGCAAGGCTCCCAGGCTGCAAGGCTCCGAGAAATGAAAAAGGGGACCCTCCTTGGCCTCTGGCTCCGGGCCAAGCCTAACTGTGGTCAACATGACGAAAGGGTGCCTAGCAAGGCTCCAAGGCTCGCAAGGCAAGGCTCCAAGCTGGCTTTGCGCCAAAAGCTCCAAGGCTCCAGCCTTTGGCTACCGGTCCAAATGTAAAGCAAGGCTCCCAGGCTCCAAGGCTCCAAGAAATGAAAAGGGGGACCCTCCTTGGCCTCTGGCTCCGGGCCAAGCCTAACTGTGGTCAAAATGAAGGGGCCAAGCAAGGCTCCAAGGCTCGCAAGGCAAGGCTCCAAGCTGGCTTTGCGCCAAAAGGCGCCAAGGCTCCAGAAAGTGGGACCCTGCTTGCCTTTGGCTCCCGGTCCAAATGTAGAAATGAAAAGGGGGACCCTCCTTGGCCTCTGGCTCCGGGCCAAGCCTAACTGTGGTCGAAATGTAAGGCAATGCTCCAAGGCTCCAAGGCTACGGGGGACCCTTCTTGGCGTTTGCGGAGCCCCAAGCCGCCTAGCTGTGGTCGAAATGTAAAGCAAGGCTCCAAGCTCCCTACCTGAAGATGGTGACCCTCCTTGACCTCTGGCTCCGGGCCAAGCCTGACTGTGGTCGAAATGTGAAGCAAGGCTCCAAGCTCCAAGGCTCCAACCTCCTTGGCCTCTGGCTCCGGGCCAAGCCTAACTGTGGTTGAAATGCAAGGGTTCCGGGCTCCAGGGCTCCACGGCTGCCGGAATGAACAGGGAATGTTGCCTGGTTTGCGATGCAAGCTCTTCGTTGACAGGCTCCAACGCTCCAAGCCTTTTTTGGTACGAGCAGCCAGGCCCCCAGGTTCCGAGGCAATATGCCAATGCGTAGTCCATCCTTAAAGGCCTTCAGCCTAAAGCCCAAAGCACTAGGAGCGGGGCGAGAACCATCCTCGACGCCTGACAACGGCGCAGCTGGACGGCCACGCCAAGACCAGGACCGAGTAGGGTTTAAGGTTTACGACTACTACTACTACTACTACTACTACTACTACTACTACTACTACTACTACTACTACTACTACTACTACTACTACTACTACTACTGACTACTAATTTATATTTTATTATTATTATTATTATAAAATTATTAAATTATTATTATTATTTATTATTATTATTGTTATTATTATTAGTATTATTAATATTATTATTATTATTTTATTATTCTTAGTATTACTATAAATTATTTATTTTTTTATTAAAATTATTATTATTATTTATTATTCTATGGTTATCATTAATGTATTATCTAATAATATTATTATATTGAATAATACGACTACTTACTACTACTAATACTACTACTACTAATACTACTTACTACTACTACTACTTACTACGCCTACTATATACTACTACTAATACTACAATTATACTATTACTACTACTACTACTACTACTAACTACTTGCGAACGGACTGCGATGGCCTTGTAAGTTCTAAGGTGTCATATACGAGCTGTGAGCAAGAAGTGTTAAAGTGCAAGAGAAGGGGCAAGTTACGCGGTCCTCGACCCTAGGGGGCATCTACGCATCCCTGCATATTTACCTTTCTATGTGGACGCCCAAACGAAAAGGTTTTGGCTCAAGTCAATGCCCATAGCTAAGTGCTATATATGTCTTCTATCCTGAGCAATCAGAGCTATCCCGTTGCACAGACGAACCGCCGCCGGCAGTGAGTGCAAAAAAAGAACGGCCGCCGGTTCTGCCTGCATAGGATTGCACGTGTGGAAGTAAGAGGGAGAGACAGGGTCCAGTCTGTGGAGAGTGCTAGCCAGCCACACCTACTTTCATTACAGCTCTGGTGGGGAGAGCAGCAACCAAGTCGAGATCAATCCCCCACGCAGGTTATCAGCCGTACGCGGCTCTGCCTTTCTACAGCAACGACTACTTGATCTACTACGACCACAATGAACTCAGGATCAAGCCAAGATACGACAGTGACTTTCGGTGCCGATGTGGCAGCGCCAGCCGTTGGTGAGTCAACAGCTGACGACACAGTGGTGCAATCCGTTGATAGCTCCACGGAAGATGACAAAGGTCAATCTTCTGTGCTTGCCATTGCAAAGGCAGTTCCCAAGGGGAAAGCAAAGAGTCTACCAAGAGCATCTACGCCTTCACGTCCGACATCCACAGGTTCGAGGACGGGCAAGGCTTCAGAACGACGGGCCGAAGCGTCTGGGTTTCAGGCACCTCGGACTACGTCCAGGGCTAAGGACAAAGGAGTCAAGACCTTGGAAAAGAAGTCAAGACCATCATCTTCGAGAAGCTCTTCAGCACGATCGAGGACTTCGGCCACTCGGGGGCGTGACAAGTCCATGACTTGGAATCGGATGGTTACCAATCAACCACGTGATACTGACGATCTGGACATGACTCTAGATACGATTCCTGCACGTGGTGATGCGTCATCCGTGGCTACGCCTGCAATAGCTGATGGTCCGAACGCCTACCAGGAACTGACGATTTCGCAACAGTTCGAAGCATCGAACCTTGCACAGCAGATGTACTATCGCAGTCAGGTGCAAGAATATGAAGGAATCGTCCAGACCCTGATGGACAAGATCAAGGAGATGCAACAAGAAGATGAAGGATCTGGAATTCGCATTGAAGAATTGGAACGACAACGTGACCATGCATGCTTAGCCATGAGGCACATCAACAATGTCAATCAGGAGATGAAGAGAGACTATGAAACAGCTTTGTTTCGCATGGATGAACAGAACTCTGCTCAACAACGTCAAGCACATGCCGTTGCCGAGGAGTTAGCTCAACAGCTACACGTGTTCCGCACGGAGGCAGCCACTAACTTTGCGCAGTTGGAGGCAAGAGCGCAAGGCGATGGTGAGCTTATGGCACGTGAGTATGAGCGTCTGACTCATGAACTTCATGAACACGCCAGAGAGAACTTGGTCCTCCGGTCAAACACAGCAAGTTCGGAACAAGCCTTACAAGCAATGCAGGAACGATTCCCCTTGGTCAAGAACCAGGAGTTGCGGGCTGTGAACGAGATCCAAGGGCTAGCTGGAAACAGCGCAGCCATTGAACAAGAACGATTTCGGCTTCGCGAACGTCTTGGTGAAGAGGAAGAGTACCGCAAAATGGCTGTGAAGAGGATGCAAGAAGCAGAGGATCGACTTCACCAGAATGAAGATCATGCAAGGCGATCATTGCCTACCTTGCACGACGAGCTGAGTGAACTCAGGAAAACGCTCAAAGCACAAGAAGATCTTCAAGCGAGGACACGCAGCGAATTGGAGGCAGCGCGAAACTCCAACCAAGGAGGAGCGACGCGACCTTCGAGCATGCCCATGTCTTCGAGGACTACTGAGTCTGGCTGGGAGCACGTAGGAAAGGAAGTAATGCCTGCATTTTCCGTAGGAGATGAGGTACGATCCCCTGAAATACGGTCCCCAAGTCAAGTTAGTCCAGTCGCCAAAGAGAAGTTTGCATTCTCGGAATCGGACAAGGACAAGAACCTTGTGATGGATGGAATTCCATTCACCGGTGGAAACTTCTTCACTGGCCGCAGTTCAATGCCAATCGTGGCGGATGCAATGCCCGAGCACTACGTGCCAGGTATTAGCAGCCCAGCACTTGCGCGTTCCACGCCTAGTGCAGCCACTTTGTTTGGCATACCAAGCGGATTTCATGGGAAAAGTGATGCGGCAGCCGTGCGTGATCGACAGCTCCGCGAACTCTTGGGGGATCGCGGGATGTTGGGATCGAAGTCCACAGCATCGG